CGGCGGGGCGGGGCGGGCGGCCGTGGAGGGGGCGCATTCCTGGGGAGCCAGCTCGGCGGCTGGTCCGCTGCCCCGGGTGTGTGGCAGCGGGTGCAATAATGCAAGTTTCCTGTGGGGCTCCCGACTTCTCAGAGTTGAAGGCGGCGATTCGGGATGCGAGGTGCTCTTGGAAAGAGTTGGGAAGCACGGATCTCTGCTGGCCCTCTGCCCTGTGCAAACACGCGAGCTAGGACGTCGCTTCCCTTTCCCTCGTCCTTTTGGAAAACTAGAATCGGAGGAAAGGTGCCAGGGGCGAGGCGACCACGAGACATTCGACCTTGCCTGTTAAATACTTTCCGCGAAGGAACAGTCAACGATTATCAGCCTTTCATCTGGGGCTCTTCCTTTCCCTCTGGGGTTGCTGTCAGAGAAGCACGATTTAAATAGAAGCCACTCCTGACCGAAGTCCCAGGCTCAGACCAGGTGCTGCTACCGCGCAGATGGCCCTAGCAGGTGAAATGGGCTGGCCGGCCTACAAGGGGGACTTCTGCGGTGGTTTCTTCTCCATCGTGCCTCAGGACAGCTCTGTGGAAGAATCTGCAATTATCAGGATAACCCAGGTGGCCACATGTTTGGGTTCAGCTGCCGATAAACCGACTTGACCAAAGCTAATTCATTACCAGACGGGGGCTAGAGCAAGTGAGGGTGACCCTGTTAGCAAACCCAGTGTCTTGGAGACAGTCCAACACCATTTTATCCATGGGGAAACTGAGTTCCAGGGAAGCTCAAGGTCACAGCCATAAGCTAGACCCCAGACTCCCATTTATTCTGGAACCAAGCAGTTTCCCCTGAGATTTTGGATTTGGGGAGAAAAGCTACTGGGGAAATGGGATGCCTAATACAAAAAATAAGATAGTACCTCAGCGAGTCATTCTGAACATTATATAAGAAAATATGTCACAGCAGGTTATAAAACAGCGGTCTCTACTGTTGGCCCTCTGATGGCTTAGGGCCACAAAGAACTTCTGAATACATATGTCTGAAAAAATAGGAAGATATCTGGGACACCTGGTTGGCTCGGTAGGAGGAGCATGCAACTCTTGATCTCCAGGTAGTGAGTTCGAGTCCCATATTGGGTCTAGAGATTACTTAAATAAATAAAACTTTAAAAAAATAAAATGGGAAGATATCGGGCGCCTGGGTGGCTCAGTTGGTTAAGCGACTGCCTTCGGCTTAGGTCATGATCCTGGAGTCCCGGGATCGAGTCCCGCATCGGGCTCCCT